TGACCACGTGGGGAAAATAGACCCAGAGCCTATAGACTGCATCCCCTTCTAAAGATCCCAGTGAGGGAGTTAAATCATGCGGAACCACATACATTAACAAAATCCCTCAAGGAATTTCCTCTTCAATCTTATTTTTCTTTTGCTAATATGCTGACAATATCAAATTGATGTATACTGGGAGAAGTGTGAATTCTGCACAAAGAGGGGTTTATCATTTTCCATAGCAATCTCTTTATCCCTATGGCCCTTTGTCATTTCACACAGTCTTCTCTCCAACACACAGCTCTTTACTGGAGCCCCCAGTGGCACAGTGGGTTAAACTCCTGTGCTGGCAGGACTGAAGACTGACAGGTCGCAGGTTCGAATCCGGGGAGAGGTGGATGAGCTCCCTCTATAAGCTCCAGCTCCTCATGCGGGGACATGAGAGAAGCCTCCCACAAGAATGATAAAACATCAAATCATCCGGGCGTCCCCTGGGCAATGTCCTTGCAGACGGCTAATCCTCTTCACACCAGAAGTGACTTGCAATTTCTCAGGTCGCTCCAGACACGACAACAACAGCTCTTTACTCACCTTCACTTAATCTATATGACTCTCTATTTTTATCTTATGTACTGTGATTTCCTCCCCATATGCATTTCAGTTTTCTTTTTCCAGTTAATTTTTTATTTTCAATTTTTAAAACTGGGCTTTTATTACTCTCTGTCCTCCTTATGCACATACTGAAGCTACCGTCATGTTCCCATTCTCAAGAGCTTCCAAAATAAGTGGAAAGGGCTTCATCAGTTAGCAGTGGAACCAATGATGCAACCTTTTTTGTCAGGAGACAAAAATGTAGTTATATGGCAATACATTTTAACTTGAAATTTTAGGCATTTTATGAATTTATCGTATATGCTCGGATATAAGCCGAGTTTTTCAGCCCTTTTTCAGCTTATATTTGTGTCATCTAGTCCAACCCCCTTCTGCATGCAGCCTTCATACAGCAAAAGCACAATGAAAGCACCCCCGGAAGTTGGCAGGCAGGCCGCTGCAAACGGAGGTTTTTCTGCGCTGTATTAACCTCCACTCGCTGTGGAAGCACTGTGCTGGCTGCCCAGGTCTATGCTGGCTGCCCAGGCTTGTGCTGACTGTGCAGGGTTCCGTAGCCAGCGTAGGCCTCCATGGCCAGCAGGCAGATGCAGGCAGTGAAGGCAAACACAGGCAGCAGAGACCTGCGCTGGCTGCAAAGGTGTCGACAGTGAGCGCCTCCGCAGTCAGCGCAGGTGGACACAGCAGAGTAGGACCTCTGTTCACGGCATCCTGCCTGCCTGCTTGATTTCCAGGGGAGTTTTCTCTACAGAATGTCTGCTGTAGAGTGGGCACAGGTGGGGGGAAAGCCCAGCAGCAGATCCTATTATTATTATTATTATTATTATTATTATTATTATTATTATTATTAATTAGTCCACAGCAGACATTCTGCTGGCTGTTGTATTGGATCACATGTCAGACACTTCCCAAGTGTCTAGGACTGTGTGATGTACCGGCGAATAATGCATGCAGATCCCAGTAAGGTGGCCTTCTGCAGCTGGCAGATGGTAATTTTGTCCGTGCTGATTGTGTTCAAGTGCAGGCCAAGGTCTTTAGGTACTGCACCCAGTGTGTCGATCACCCCTGGGACCACCTTGACTGGCTTGTGGCAGAGTCTTTGCAGTTCGATCCTCAAATCCTCATACCGTGTCAGCTTCTCCAGTTGTTTCTCATCAATCCTGCTGTCACCTGGGATTGCAACATCGACAATCCATACTTTGTTTTTTAACACGATCGTGAAGTCAGGAGTATTGTGCTTAATAACTTATTATTATTAAGTTATTGTTGATACTATATTGTTTTTGTTGACCCTCCTTTTCCACCTACAGAGCTAGTTTACTGCTTTTCTTTGAAATATGGTAAAAATTCAAAAACATTTAACTATGTACCATATTTGCCTACTGATGCCTCAGTTTGCCTAGTGATGCCTCAACTAATGTAATTTTATTGGTTTTTATTTTTATTTTTAAAATCTACCAGTAGCTGCTGCATTTCCCACTATAGGCTTATACTCGAGTCAGTAAGTTTTCCCAGGTTTTTTGTGGTAAAACTAGGTGCCTCGGTTTATATTTGAGTCGCTTTATACTCTAGGATAAACAGTATATCCATTTCATTACTGTCACTATATTATTCCACAATGGGTTGTACAAGGTCCAAAATGGAACAAGGACTCATATATAAAATTTTAAAGCCAAAACTTGGACCTCAACTTATGGTGAGCCTATTATACAGTCTTCTCATTAAGCTTTATTCAGAGAAGGTTTGTCATTGCCTTACCCTAAAATTAAGAGAGTGTGACTTGCCCAAAGCTGTCCAGTAGGCTACCAGGGCTGAGGAGGTTTTTGGATCATGATATTCTGGAGTCCTATTGCAACACTGAAATCACTACATCACATTGTTTCAATTTAAAGGTAGTAACACATTTTATTCAAATTAATACGTTAAAACCAAATACAAAATTGGTTAGGTCCAAAAGCAGTCATGTTTTTACTTGGCACATAGCAAAATCTAGTTTCGTGCTAATCAAGCCTCCAAGAAGTGACATTACATAATAGGGATGTCACAGTTATGATGTTCCCACATAGTATATTAATCTCATTGACTGGAAATAGCAAGCCTCAAGTACATACAACTAGAAGCACTCCATCAATTATTGAAGTCCAAAGCCCAAAGGCTTTGCAATTTCAACTGAATAATCTTGAATTATGACCAGAAAGGCACCCAGTGCAATTCATTTATGACTCATATCATATGATGTCTATATGACTTCATCTCTCCCACTTCTACAATGTCCCAGATCTGTAGGATTTGATCTCCTACGGAGTTCTGGGTCCAATACAAAACAAGCCTTTCAAACACTAATATCTCTTATCTGCATATAACACAAATAATTTTAACATGACAAAATCTTGATACAGTAGTTATAGTACCTATTGGGTCAAATAACTTTTCAAAAGGCATCAAAAATTATTATGATTCATTAATGGTATCTCTTTCTGAGTTTTAACAACATCTCTTTCAGAATTCCAGTAAGAGTTAATTAAAATCTATAGAAAAAGATAAATATCCTCAGATATATACCGTAGTCCCAAATGTCTGTGAAAATAGTTTGATTCTTATAAATATTTTAGAGACAGTGTACACACATATGTACACATAGTATACATCTTTGGATGGGTAGTCTATGCAGCTACTATAAAAAAACCCACATGTAATGGATAGAAAGGAGAACATCCCAATTTACTTATAAGAATGGATTGCACAACATATGTTTTTGGTCGAATACAATCGCTGAAACAAAACACAATAAAAGATATTTAACAGTTCTTGAATACTGTGTACTCTAAGACACTAGATCCAGTCGTATTCTGGAAACTAATCAGAGTCAACCTTGGTTAGTATTTGAATTTGAGATCACCAATTAATACCTGGAGTTGTAGGCTATACTTCAGAGAAGGAACTAACAACATAACCTCTGAGTATCCTTTGCATAAGCAAACCCTATGAAAATCACAGTATTGCCATAAGTTGACAGACAATTTGAGGCTTATGTGTAACTGTGACCGCAACCTCGCCCCCAATCTTGGGAAATAACTATTTAAAATCTATGATCTAGCTCCATTTAAATTCTTTCCAAATAATACTGATCCTTGTTTTGGCTACTGTTGTTTATTGTAATTGGGCCAGGCTTTAGCACAGCAGGTTAACTGCCAGCTGTAGTAAATCTTACCCAACTGAAAGGGTCAGAGTGAGCTCCAGGCATTTAGCCCAGCTTCTGCCTACCTAGCAGTTTCAAAAACAACAATGTCAGTATATAAACAGGTACCACTTAAGCGGGGAGGTATTTAAGGCACCCATAAGAAAATGCCAGAATAAAATGCCCGCAATTCAATCAAGAAGGAAGTTTACAAACGAAGTTATTTAGCAGGGAAAAGTGGAGTGATACCAAACACCTCCCCCCCTCCCCCAGTGGCTGGAACTGAGCACAGCCCCCAAGATGCCAAAGATGGGGAAAGCATATATATCTATATATCTATGTATATTTGTCTGTCTTGCCAGTGTATAACAGCACTGGATGTTCGAGATCTTGGCAGGGGGTTGGTCTGGATGGCCCAGGAGGTCTCTTCCAACTTGATGATTCTATGATATGTGTTCTGTGATCCACTCTGAGTCCCCTTCGGGGTGAGAAGGGCAAAATATAAATTATGTAGATAAATTCTTGTTTAGGTCAACTTCAACTTATGGCAAGCCTATCATAGCATTTTCTTGTCTGGATTCATCCAGAAGAGATGAACTATTGCCTTTCCCTAACGCTGACTGAATACCTAACTTGCCCAACAGCAAGTTAGGATTTGAACACTGGTCTCCTGGAGTCCTAGTTCAACCTGCAAACAATTGCCCATCACTGTTTCTCTAGGTACCTGTTTAGCAACCCTTACAATAAGGTAACAAAGAAGAAAAAATTGTCCCATCATTTTGACACGTTAGACCCTTATAATGTTAATTAGCTTGTTTGTATAATATACTACTTACTAAATTAATATACATTTTGCTTAGGGATGTCATAAATTTGCTTATTGTCTACTTCTGACAAAATCATCAATATAATAATCTGTTAAATAATATTATTCATGACCCTAATATCCATGAAAAGAGGAGCCTTGGTGACCATTTTTGGTTCTGATGAAAAGAAAATGCAAAAAATGACTTCTAAAGTAGTCTGATAAACACTATAATACCAGCTGAATATTTATCTCAAGCAGATAGAGGATTTCTATTTTATTTAGCAGGGCCATAACAATGTCTTCTAAGACACCTGCAAAAAGAAGTTCTGTTTTTATATAAGATCATCTCTATTTAGTAAAAGTCAATATCATGAATTGTTCCGATACCTTCAAGCATAAAAGGTTCTAGAGAAAACTGCTTACCTTTTCCATAGAAAAACTTTCGATAGTAATATGCACCAAGATCAATGTGCTCGATGATGTAACGTTTTACTTTCTCCCTGTGAATTGGCTGATTCTCCCTGGGTACTTCCAGTACAGACACACCAGCATTTGTACAATGTGAACTTAATGAAGACTCAAAGGAGCAACTCTCTCCTGATGAAAAAGATGCAGAATTTGCCCTAGAGAGCGCAATCCGTCTATCACCTTCCCCACCAGTTTCATTCCTGAAATATGGACAACTCAGTACAAGGTCATTACTTTTCCCATCACCTTCATCGGCATCTAAATTTTCTTTTGAATTGAGATCCTCTTTACTTCCCAAAGGAGATTCACAGCTTCCAGTTTGACCTGCTACCACTGGGGACTGTGAGGCAGCAGAAGCCCCAGTGGTTATATTTTTTCTTTTCCCCACATTAATTCTAGTAACCATTGCTTCATTTATGTTAAAAAGAATGCTCTGAACATCATAATGTGCAAAACATTTCTGACAATTCCAAGGATGAACGTTTTTCTCATGTCTACTATCCTCTAGCTCAGATGAGAATTTAAGAGTTTCATGTTCACTTTTAGCAGTTCTGAGTTTTCTGAAGAGAGATGTTTCTACTGATTCTGACTTCAGTCTCCATTTGAAAGATTTGTCCCGATCTCTCCCAATAAGCAGGGCACTATCCATATAGTCCAGTCCAGAAATTCTGAAAAATTCTCCTCTGGAAATTTGTGCTGCAGCATGGAGGCTTGGAGAAATTGTGGGATCACAGTGGAAAAATTCAGGAAATCCGAATGGTATGTGTGTTTTATGCTCAGCATTTTCTACTCTGTAGCCTCGAAGCATGGCAAAAAAATTCTCTCCAGATAAGCCTTGCCTGTCAATTGATGAAGTGCTTCCATATTCCCTATGAAGAGCTGCTCCTGTATTTGGATTAACAGCATTCTGATCTAAGACATCTTCTGTGTCAATGTCGCTGATTGTAACATCGCTGTTGCTTCTCTGTCTTATAGGGTGAAGACCTCTATGTGGAGAATGCATAAAAATGTCTCCTAATGCATACTTGGCATCTGCAAATTCCAAATCCAGATGTTCTTTTTGTTCACCATCATTTTGGTCACCATTTACCGACCCAACACCCTCATAACTGGACTGAACCCTGTTTTCCCAAGGAGTTTTGCTTAGTTCCTTGACACCATCTTTCTTAGGTGGCCATTCAGATACTCTAGCTCGGACTCCCATTTTAGGCACAGCTGGAGCACCATTAGCTGGGTTATTACTTTCACCTTTGCTTGTTGTATTTAGAGAAGATGGAGGACCCATATTACCATTGAGAGCTTTAAATTTTCTGGCAAAGTAGTCATCAGACTGCATAATTCTTGCTGATTCCTTAATCTTTGCAGATCCTCTGCTGGGCTTGTGCTTTTCTTCCTGTGAAGACTTTGAATCACTCATATCCAAACCGTAACAAAGGAATGGTAGGCGTTATCTTCAAGATCAAAATTTTTGGTCTACAGCTTCCATTTTATATTTGAAAGAGCCACAATATTTCTGTGTTTTTTTCAAGTTGCCATTGCAGTAGTTAGTTTGGTAGAACTCAATTCTCATTCTGTATTTTATTCCTTGAGATCCAGGACAAATTGATTGAGTCTTCTTTTCCACTTCATGAACCTGTACATTAGAAAGGAGAAAATCAATTAATATACATTTTAAAGATGCAATTATTTAATTTTTAACAAAGAAAGTAATTTTCTTTCTGCTGTGAGGTCTTTGAAAACTGCACACTCCATAAGGACACTATTTGCATTGTGCCCGGAAACTTCTTGGCAGCCAGCGGAGCTGGTGAAACAGTGGAGTTGAACACTCCCTGTAGACAGCCCCAGTTAGCAGTCTGGTTGCTGCTCTTTGAACCAACTGAAGTTTTTGAGCACTTTCCAAATGTAGCCCCACAAAGAGCACATTACAGTAGTCCAACTGGAATATGACCAAGACATGTACCACCATAGCCAGAGCCGACTTCTCCAGAAACAGGTGCAGCTGGTGCATTAGCATTGATTGTGTAAAAGCACTCCTGGTTACGGATAATGCCTGGGCTTCCAGATTCAAAGCTGAATCCAAGAGTACCCCAAAACTGTGAACCTACGTTTCAGGGAGAGGGTAAACCGATCAAACACGGGCTAAATCCCTATTCCCAGATCTCTCTTTTGACTAACCAGGAACAACTCTGTCTTGCCTGGATTAACCTTCAATTTGTTTGCCATCATCCAGTCCATTACAGCTGGCAGGCACTGGTTTAGCACAGGAACTACTTCCTTAGAGCCGAGCTTTAGCACAGCTGGTCAGCATGAGCACCCGACTGTTTGCTCAGCTCACTGTTTATCTAAGCAGTTTGAAAACAGATTGAGCTGTAAGAAGAGAAATTAGGTACCGCTAAACAAGCAGGGGAGGTATTTTATAACACCATAAAGAAAAAGATCAGAAAATGCCCAGCGACCAAAAGGAAGGAGAAAGTCCTGATGGCTCTTCGTCATAGAGGATGGAGAAACAGCACCCCCATGTGGCTGGATTCAAGCACAACCTCCAAGGTGCCAAAGAGCTGGATGTCGACATAATATAACATACCTCCTTTCTGTTCTGTCTGTCTCTGTCCTGTCTATCCAAAATGGCATTGAATGTTTACTGTGTATGTGTACTGTGATCTGCCTGAGTCCCCTTGGGGAGATAGGGCAGAATATAAATAAAATGTTGTTTGTTTATTTATTTATTTATTTATTTATTCATTATTCGAACTTATATGCCGCCACTCCCCTGGGGCTCGGAGCGGCTTACAAGAACAGGCTAAAATCGAACACAATTTAAAAACAGCAGTAGTAATAGAGTTGGGTGTCATCTGCAGTAGTAGATCTGTTAGTAATAATAGAGTTGGGTGTCATCTGCATATAGATAGCACCACACTCCAAAACTTCGGATGACCTCTCCGAGTGATTTCATGTACATGTTGAACAGCATGGGGAGCAACTCATATCTTTGAGGGACCCCCACAGGCCAGTAGCCACCACCTTCTGAGAATGTCCCTCAAGGAACAAACTGAGCCACTGAAGAACAGTGTCTCCAAACCTCATCCCAGAAAGGCAAAATGTTGACACAGTCAATAGTATTGAAAGCCACTGAAAGGTCCAGGAGAAACAACAGGGAGACACTCCCACTGCCTAGTTATCTGTGTAAATCATTTACTGAAACAGCTAGAGATGTCTCTGTCCATAACCAGGCCTGAAACCAGACTGAAATGGATCTAGACAATTTGCTTCATCCATGAACCCTTGGAGTTGAGAAGCCACCACACACTCCAATACTTTGCACAGAAATGGGAGATTGGAAACTGGCCTGTAGTTCTCAAGGACAGTGAGAACCAAGGAAATTTTCTTTAGGAGAGGCAGGCCTGTAGCGACGGGGGGGGGGGGGGGGGGGGGTTAGGGATTAACCCCCCCCCCCCCAAAATTTTTCAGGTTAAAAAAAACCTGGTTTACTCATGAATTTTAACTGGTTAACCAAATCCCCATGCTAAGTCTATGAGACGCAAAAAAATTAAGAGTCCCTCCAGAACTGCAAGCACTATCTCAAGCAAATATTGACAATTTATTCACACTGTCATTACTTGCAGCAATAGCCGATGTAGCGAAGCAACCAAGTTGGGGGGGGGGGGTGTTGAATGCTCTCATTAAGGAGGCCAGACTTGGTGAAGGTGGTTGACAGGGGCGGAGCTGCAGGCTATTGAAGGCTGCTCTGCCCCTGCTGTTCTGTTTGCTTCAGCGTGAGCTAAGAGGCAGGTTTCAACTCCCTCCTCCCGAATTTTTCAAACCCTCCCCGAAATTTTCAAAACTCCCCCACCCCTGAAATTTTCAACCCTCCTCGAAATTTTTTTCTGGCTACAGCCCTGAGGAGAGGTCTTACCACAACCTCCTAGAGGCCTGTGGGGACCCTATCCTGGTGTAGGGAGGCATTAACCACTTCCTGACCCATTCAACCGGTCCCTCTCTGGCTTGTTTAATGAGCCAGGAAGGACAGGAGTATAAAGTTCATCTCTTCACTGTTGCAAAACAGTTTCTCTCATGCCCCTTTTACACTGCCCTTTATCCCAGGATTTGATCCCAGATTATCACTTTATTCCAGATTATATGCCAGTGGAGAGTAATATAAACCTGTTCAAAGCAAATAATCTGGGATCAGATCCAAGGATATTGGGCTGTGTAGATTCAGCCTCATTCTCTCAAATTTGGATTTTAATGTCTGTCAATTTAATCCATCACAAATCATTTTATCTAAAGATCACAAACATGTGCAACATAAAGGTGCAGTGCTTCCTAACTATTTTAGTGCCTTTGGAAATTCAAATAATTTCATGGTCTAATTTGGAAACCATGTTACATTTATATACACCAACCTTCACTATGTCAACTTCCTCTTTCCCTTTTTTTCTGGTCATGGCCACAGAGAGAAATTGTGAAGGTTCTATTCTGTTTTTCATTACAGTTTATATGAAGACTGAACACGAACTCCAAAACTTAAATCAGTGTGTTTCTGGCTATCTGATGTGGGGATCAGCACAGACAACAACCTCATTGTGTCAATTAGGAACAAGTCCCCAGGGCCAGATCAACTACACCCAAGAGTATTGAAGGAACTAGCGGAAGTCATCTCGGAACCATTGGCAATCATCTTTGAGAGTTCTTGGAGAACGGGAGAAGTTCCAGCAGATTGGAGGAGGGCAAATGTGGTCCCAGTCTTCAAGAAGGGAAAAAAGGATGACCCAAACAATTACCATCCGGTCAGTTTCAAGTGGATACCAGGCAAGATTCTGGAAAAGATTGTTAAGGAAGTGGTCTGCAAACACTTAGAAACAAATGTGGTCATCGCTAATAGTCAACATGGAATTATCACAAACAAGTCATGCCAGACTAATCTGATCTCTTTTTTCGTTAGAGTTACAAAATGGGTAGATGCGGGGAATGTCGTGGATGTAGCATACCTGGATTTCAGTAAGGCCTTCGACAAGGTCCCCCATGACGTTCTGGCAAACAAACTAGTCCAATGTGGGCTAGGCAAAACTACGGTGAGGTGGATCAGTAATTGGTTGAATGGACGAACCCAGAGGGTGCTCACCAATGCTTCCTCTTCATCCTGGAAAGAAGTGACGAGCAGAGTGCCGCAGGGTTCCGTCCTGGGCCTGGTCCTGTTCAACATCTTTATTAATGACTTAGATGAAGGGTTAGAAGGCAAGTTTGCAGACAACACCAAATTGGGAGGGATAGCCAATACTCCAGAGGACAGGAGCAGAATTCAAAACAATCTTGACAGATTAGAGAGATGAGCCAAAACTAACAAAATGAAGTTCAACAGGGACAAATGCAAGATACTCCACTTAGGTAGAAAAAATTAAATGCAAAGATACAAAATGGGGGACGCCTGGCTCAAGAGCAGTACATGTGAAAAAGATCTTGGAGTCCTTGTGGATAGCAAGTTAAACATGAGCCAACAATGTCATGTGGCGGCAAAAAAAGCCAAAGGGATAGGAGCATAGTGTCTAGATCTAGGGAAGTCATGCTACCCCTCTATTCTGCCTTGGTTAGACCACACCTGGAATACTGTGTCCAGTTCTGGGCACCACAATTGAAGAGAGATATTGAGAAGCTGGAATGTGTCCAGAATGCGACCAAAATGATCAAGGATCTGGAGAACAAGCCCTATGAAGAACGGCTTAAAGAGCTGGGCATGTTTAGCCTGAAGAAGAGAAGGCAGAGAGGAGATATGATAGCCATGTATAAATATGTGAGAGGAAGTCACAGGGAGGAGGGAGCAAGCTTGCTTTCTGCTTCCCTGGAGACTAGGACACGGAACAATGGCTTTAAACTACAAGAAAGGAGATTCCATCTGAACATTAGGAAGAACTTCCTGACTGTGAGAGCCGTTCAGCAGTGGAACTCTCTGCTTAGAGTGTGGTGGAGGCTCCTTCTTTGGAAGCTTTTAAACAGAGGCTGGATGGCCATCTGTCAGGGGTGCTTTGAATGCAATATTCCTGCTTCTTGGCAGGGGGTTGGACTGGATGGCCCACGAGGTCTCGGTCTTTTCCAACTCTATGATTCTATGATTCTAACTGTTATCTAGAGATTGGCATTACTCTGGATTACCAATTTGTGTATCATTCCCTATTTTTTTTCTCTGTATCTGAAACTGAAGGCATCCTACATCAATTAAGGGAGGTACAATTAAAATTTACATTGTTGAAAAGTTTAACCAGACCACTAAAAGAACAACAAATATGAGCAACACAGCATGTGAAAGGCCCTTTCCCAATCTAAGGTCTGCCAAAGTAGAAAGGTCTTCATTGGCCCATGGAAGGAGAGAAACAAGGATGCCAGTCTACGCTCTCCAGTACAGTCTGGAAGAGTAACAAAGAAGGCTCTCTTTAATGTTTCCTGCAGACATGTAAACAACTTCCCCAGAAGATCTTAAGACATGGATAGGCTCATATAGGGAGATACAGTTCTTCAGTTAACTTTGACCTGAGCCATACTGAGCTTTGCATATTTAGGACTATAGATTGTGCCTGGAAATAAACCAGGAACCAGAGAAACTGTTTACAACAGGGAACTGTGAGTTCCCTATAGAAAGCC